GGCTGATAACTGGGTGGTTAATAGCTGGAGCTGTGTATTTTAGGGGATTTTGGGCATGGAAGTCCCCTTGAGAACTTTTCTTCACTTGCGTTACTTCCCTCGTGCCTTCATACTGGAGGTCTCTTTGCAGATCTATCCCATAACCTTATCAATTAACACGATGGGCTTAAAAGCGGGCTGTGGCCGAAGAACTGGGGGTGGGTTCTTGCTGCAGGGCTGGGTGAGAAGGGCCCCAGTTTGTGTGGGTTGGGGAATCTTCCCCAGCACGTCAGCTCTGCCGTGCACAGTGGAGCATTTGCATTGCCCTCTTGTGGCAAGTGCCCTGGAGCCGCTGGGGTCAGGAGACATTCTGCCTTACGTTGTCCATGGTGTTCCTTAGGAAGATCTGTCCTCCCAACAGCAGAACCGTGATTAAACAATTCTGCAGTTTCAGTGTGGTTTTTGATTCAGCAGCCTCTCCAGTGAAACTGTGGCTCTCCTAATCTAGAAGCGTGAGTTAGCATGAAAACCTGAAAGCGAAGCTGATGGGATGTAGGAAGTGAAACCGATAGTTCAAGATACATTATTGAAATGATGTTCCAAAATACGTAGTCTAAGATCTAATTGTAGCTCTCTAATTATTTGCAGTTAAACTCGCCTGAAGGTTTTTGTAATGCCTCAGCGATATTAATAGTTTCAGAAACTTGATGGAGGCAACAAAATAGAGAACAAAAGCACTGAAAATTAGATAATCCATTCTTTCAGCTTTGCATGCATTTCTCTTCTTTCCACCAAATAGCATTCTCCTTCTGCCAGGAAGCGGTGGTGGGATTAGATCCTGCAGTTGTTTAAAGTAACCCTGCAGCAAAACACAAGCATGTGCTAAAATCTGGGCTACCAACCTGGCAAGAATTAATTTCTGAATTAAATGCTGTCGTCTTTCTGTAAATGGTGAAGGGAGGCTGTGTGTGTGCAAACACACACCCTGCAGACCCCTCCTGGAGGGCGATGCCTTGCAGACATGCCCGCAGCCCCTTACTCTCTTTGTTCTCACCATTCGCAGCGTGGCTGGGGCGAAGGGGTTTTATTGTGGCGGCAGCGGGTGAATTCCTGCGTGCGCCTTCCCCGGGCCTGCTGCCCCTCTAATTGTTGTGTTGTCAGAAGGCGTGTGCCTCCGAAAGCCTTATCTGATTCCTCCAAAAGCCTTGCAAGCAATTCAGATGTTGACCCCTTGAGCGCAAACAACTCTCCGCCTGCCTTGGGGCATAGCCGCCAGACGAGGTTTAGTGCTCGTGTGTGTGTGCAAACCTGAGGCTGGCTTTGTCACCGGGGATGGAGCACCTGCCTGGGGAGGGGAGCAAGGGGCCAGGGAAGGTGAAAGGCTGGTGGGATTCGGAGGGGGAGAAGGGGAGTCCAACAGCTGCTTGTGTCAGCGCGGGGATAAATGCAAGGAGATTAATAGTTATTTAAAGAGCAAATGGGGACATGGCATTCGGTTGTGGCATGCGAGTGTATAAATGTGGTGGAATGGCTGCTCTGCTGGTAACATTTAGACAGATGGTCCCTGGACTGAAAGGAATGAAAAGGATCTTTGCTTCTCTTAAGGATATCTTAAATTTTAATGGGGCACTCTTTTTTTTTTTTTTTTTTTTTTTTTTTTTTTTTTTTTTTCCCCGGCCCCCCTCGGCGACTTCCAGGCAGCACCTTCGGCGTTTCCAGACTGTGCTGTCTTGTTAACACCGACTGCCCATTTGGACATCTTTCTCCATCTTAAGTAGCCTGGGATTAGAGGGAATAGTTTTTAAGTGAAAGCTGAAACGCTATTGTTTTGCTGTCTGTATGTCTGAGTTGGTTTAGAAGACTGTTTTCATCACAGCCGTCTTTTCATCATTCTGCTGGTTAGGGAGTGTGTCTGATGCTAATCTCCATGAGAAATGAAACAACTGAGTGATACTTCTACATTTTTGAGAAGTCTTCAGGTCTTATTAGGGTATTCTGGGGCAGGAGGGCAGGGAGGTTTGTTTTTTGATGAAATACAGAATTATTGAGCAGGAAAAAGACTGTTCCTGGTGCAGTACACCAGCATTCTGGCTCTTTCCATACAGAATTAGCCTCAAGGGAAAACACGTACCAAATGTCCGTTAAATAGGTCTTGGTTGGCTGAATAGCCTACAGGAGATGAGACATAATTGTCATCTGCATTGCCAAAGCTGCAATCTCCTTTTGGAGAAGAAGAACCAGTCTGGATCGCTTTCTCCTGAGTCAACTATTTAGCATGCTTTGAGTCCAATCACAGATACTTTCTTGCCCATCTAACAGGGGTGCTGGGCATCTATAACATCCCCGCTGTTACAGATGGGGAAACTGAGGCAGGGAGGGCAAATGACTAACCCGAGGCAACACAGAGAGTCACTGGTTCACCCAGGATTAGGGCTCAATATGTAATTGCTTTTATTACTCTGGTGCCCGAAGGCCTCAGACAAAACGGAGGCCCATTAAGCCGAGCGCTTTTTACATAGCGAGGAGCAATCCTTGCCCTGCAGACCTTGCTGCCTGAAGTAGGCTGAGGGTGGAGGGGGGGGCAAGGTGGCTTGCCCAAGGACACAGCGCATCGCTGGCAGAGCAAGGGAGGGAACCAGCTCTCCCTTGTCCCTGCAGACCATCCCAGCTCCCAAAATGAAGTCCCCTATGCCGTTCCCCACCGGACCTTCTCCTTCCCACCACAGCTTGTATTAACAAGCTGATCTGTCTCTGGAAAGTCTGATGTGCCTTGCTGAAGACCCAACAGCACCAGGCTCACCTTGGGCTTTTAATTAAAACCTCATAAAATATCAGCCTCTTCCAGTGAAACAGAGACAGAAACCTAAGGAAGAGCTCTATTTGGTGGCTCAAATTTCTCTACCTCCTCCTCTTCTGGAAGGACAGCTGGCAGCGCAAAGTGTTTGGGTGTAGGGAGGGCACTTCATCCTTGCAAAAGGACCAGCCTGTTTTCCTCCATGGCTGAAGTGACTGGAGAAACTCAGTGTTAAATGGCTTGTCCAAGGTCCCTGGGAAGCTTGGCAGGTAGCTTGTGCCATTCCCTTTCAGGTCCTTGGAAGAGTGATGATGTGCTTGAAGTTTCATTAGGGCCGGTGGGATTCCTAGTATTGGGAAAGCTTTTTGTTATGGGTCTTGCTGTTGGTGCTCTGACTCGGGGAGCCTTTGTTGCTTGGCTGATATTACAGACTTGTCTCTGGAAAAGGAGCAACTGTTGGAAAGAAGAGGGAAGTCTGGAGCAGACTGGCTGAAGTACTGGGAGATACATGAGCTTGATGGCTCTGGATGGGATTGAAGACGTAGGATGTGGAGGGGCATGAGGTGCTTGAACCCTTGAACAAGGGGAAGAGCCTGAGCCCCTTCTGCCATGTCAGCTGCTAACTGCAGAACCAGGTGTGTGTATCGCTGTGTGTTCCTGGGTGATCCCAGAGCTGTTGGGGCTGGGTACCACAAACTTTTTGGATGCTGCTCTCTCCCTAAGCTGGGCACAAACAATGCCCTTTGGACACACGCAAGGAAGAGACTGTGTACCTGGCTGAACCCCGTGTATGGCTCACCTGCTGCCCTGTCTCCGTGGCCAACGCTGGGTCTTTTGGAGGAATAAAAGATTGGGGTAGTTGTGTAACTCTCTCTCCTCAGAGCATTTTCCCAGCTTCCAACTGTTTGTGGTTCAGAATTTTAAAATCGGATATGCTGCCTTGATGGATTTTTCTCCAGCAGAAATTGTCTGATGCCTTTTTGAACATATGTAGGCTTTTAGTATCCGCAGCATTTTGTAGCAGAAAATCCATGTCTGTTTGTGGGCTTTGTGAAGAATCACTCTGTGTGTGTTCAAATCCTGCTCAAGATGTTTTCTTGTCCACTAACTCCTCTATTAAGAGAGCATGAAAATTCATTTCCTATTTGCTTTTTTCCATATTGTTTAGGAATTTATCCACTTCTGTCATATTGCGTTCCACCTCTCTCCTCATTGTCTCTTTTCCAGGCTGAAAAGTTGTCATCTACTGTTGCGTTACAGGAAGGCATTGAAAGAGTTTGCTCATTCTTGTCACCTTTCTCTGAAATTTTTTCCACTCTCATCTCTTTGAGAGGGGGACCAGGGCTGCACATAAAATTTAGGGCATTAGGCATGTGATTTTTCTGCTAACCTCCCCCTGATCTAGCCTTTGCCTTTCTGTACTCCATTCTCTAGCTTTTGTTTTCGATGCCTTCAATTGTTTCGTATGTCATTTGTACCTGGAGGCTACTTCTGGGCCACAATCACGTCTGCTCATTTAAGTGCAACACGCTGTGCAACTGCTGGTGCTTAAGTATGTGGGGAAGCCTTCCATGCTGTGAGCTACCATGCTGCTTGACGAGACCTTTAATTCCTTTCTACTACTGTCTGTGACCGGTCACTGGGAATTGAGTGCATGGTACAACCTGGGTAAGTGCTATGAACCTTTTCTCCAGTGAGTCACACTTCAGTGTGGTTACTACCTGAGTTAAAGGTCCCAAATGCCACCATGAGTAGCAGGATCGGACCCATGAGAAGAGGAGCAATCTTTGTGTAGAGCGTGAGACCGTCAGAGGCAATGTAGCCTTGTACAAGCTAGAGCCAGCTGCACTGTAATGAACCTAGTGATTTTTATCAGATTATAGCAGTTTCTTCAAAAGGGTCTCAGTCTGGGTGTTGCTAGACATAGGGAGCCTGTCTCCTCGTGATGGCTTGCTGCCTGCGAATCACCTCCTTGTTATGTGCAAGCTCTTTTCCCAGCTTAGCTGTTGATCTACTGTGTGGCTGTGAGAAACTTTACTTCTTTCTGTTTCAGCCACTGATGTAAAATGGGGCATATCCTTTGCAAATCTCCCTCCTCTTGGTGTGACACGTGTTCGATGGTGCTGAGATCGTGCTGTGCATCCTCCATTGTGAAGGCTGTGCCATGGCTAGCCAGCCTGTGCTAACGTTGCTTCTGTAACAGTCCTGTGCATCTCTTTGCCTCTAGCCGCAGTACACGAACCTGGGGCTCCTGAACAGCATGGACCAGCAGATCCAGAATGGCTCTTCCTCCACCAGCCCCTACAACACGGAGCACGCGCAGAACAGTGTCACGGCCCCCTCACCTTACGCCCAGCCCAGCTCGACTTTTGATGCCCTCTCGCCCTCCCCAGCCATCCCTTCCAACACAGACTACCCAGGACCTCACAGCTTCGATGTATCATTTCAACAGTCCAGCACAGCAAAGTCAGCAACGTGGACGGTAAGGACGCAGCATCGCTTTTGCTCCCTCTCTGGCTTCAGTCACGATGCTACTGGTGACATTGTTCTTAGGATACATATCCAGCTTGTGCAAGAACGGAGTGACCCGTGTCCTCTTCAGTGCATGACATGTCACACAGAAGGGAGAGATTTATCTTGGCTGCTCCGGGAGGGTGTGGTGGGAACTTAACCCCCAATAATATCACTAAATCCTAGGTGAATAAAATGCCTCGCAAAAAGACAGTCACCTAAAGACTGTATGTGATGAAACAGTGGCTCTCCATTTGGGTCTAGCAGGTGTGCTGGAACAAAATGTGGGGTGGGCATAAGCATGGCTTCAGCGCTTCCCTTCGCTTTCTTCACCTTCCATGGGTTTGCGTAAGGTTTGGCATGCGGGGCTGTGCCGGCAGGATGGAGGTGGTGCCTCCCCCGCTCCGACCCATGGTATGCGGGGCTTTCTCTCTCTCTGTGTCCTTGTCCTCTTGCAGCTGGTGTGGGAACCCCAGTGCCATCAGCTCGGGTCAGCCCTGCGGTGTTTGGATTATTTATATATATATATTTTTTTTTTTTTTTTACTTAACACTCTGCTCTTGCTGTCAGAATAGTCCCTTTCTTACAAAAAAAAAAAATGTATGGAGCTTGAAATTTGAAGCCCAGCTCTTGATTTTTGGTGGAGCTGGCTTGATTGTTCAAGCTCTAGAAACTATGTAGCCCAGGGCACAGCACTGCTGGAGCTGTATGTCCTATTGTGGTTTAGGGCTCTAGAGTAGAGATGTTTGCAGTGGAGACTATTGCTGTCTTAAAGATGTTCAATATTTGCTTTCCTCTCCTTTGCGCACTTGGAGTAGGTGCAGTGAATAATGCCCTACCTCATGGTACCTGAATAAAAGCAGGGACTCAATTTTTTAACTTTTTTTTTTTAAAGAAAAAAAGGTACATTTTTTACCAAAAGCTAAAAGCATTACAATAGTGTGGGTTTTTTTTTTCTTTTTTAATCTGAGGAACTACTTTGATCTCAATTTAAATACGATCTAGCAGGAATTGAAACTAATAAACAAACTCCTAGCCACTGCTGCCAGCAAAGCAGCGGAGCCCATGTGCTCCACGCTGGAAAAAGATGCCAGATAACAATAAATTACTGTAAGTTTGCATCCTTTTCCAGTAAAATTTGTCTAGAACTAGTAACAATAACCTTGTTCAGGAAATTGTGTTTCATGGGGTTAAAATGCAATAGATGCAATAGATCTGCTCAAGACCAAATTTGTCATTTGTTTATGCATAAAAGGGTGAAGGATTTCTAAATGAGGTTGAAATTGCACCCTTTCCTTATCTGCATTGGGAGTGATGCCCTGCTGTAGTTCACGCTTGTTTTCATGTCCAGGTTTCTCCACTTACACTACACACACTACTTGTTTTCACTTCCCTTTAAGTAAGGAAATCGTTGGTCAGTTCTACTTTCCATTTCTCAGAGCAAGAAAATGCTGCCCTTGGATTTTTGCAGACTGCTCTGGAGAGAGGGTCCTTTGAAGGAGATATGAAAAGACAGTCTCTTTTGATACGTATGGTACAAAGAATTATCTAATGCAGCTGCAGGGAACCAGAGCGTTTGATGCTGTCCTTTTAACTATGAAAAGCGGTCTTTTGAAATGAGGTTTGAACGTATGTAGCAGGCTGTTCCAGCAGAGCTGAAGATGAGCGAGCTACGAGCGAGCTTAAAGTTAAGCAAGCACTTGAGATGTTTCACTGTAGTGATCGTGGCTTTCTGGGGTAGAAGTGGAGGCTGACTTTTAATGTAGATCATTATGTCAAAGATCAGATTACATGCTGGCTTCAAAGAAATAAATAAAATTGCTCCTTGGTGACTACAGTCACCAAATGTGTGCAGCCTGGGGGCAGGCACGTTTAGCTTCCCCCCCTTTTCTTTTGCCCTAATGAGGACCATGCTACCAACACATGAAGATGTGCTCCCTGTAACTGTTGCAGTCTGTCTAGGGATAAGTCCGTGTATTTTACTAAAGGAATGGGGTCCCAAACAGCTCTCTGATCAGGGAGGAGCGAGCGCGATCCAGGTGCCCCTGCGCTGAGCCAAATGACCCAGATTTAGCTGCTCGTGCAGGAGCTGGCAGTGTGCTGTATGTTCACAGTGGATGATGACAGTCTTGCGGCAGTGGCTGGGGACCTTCAATCAATACGCCTTTCACAGTAGAGCATCTTTCCATCTTCGGAGCTCTGCCCTTCTGCTAATTAGTCCACCAACTCGTTTCACATGGGCTCTTGAGCGGTTGGTAATATGCGTTCGACAGCTTTATCAGTGGGGTGGGTGGGGAAGGACGTGAAGGCTCTCTTTCCCGTTGCCGTCCTGAGAACTGTGGAAACATGCGTGAAATGTTGATGAAAGGAGGAGTGATTGCCCCATCCTCTCAGCAAGAGCAAGTTCTCGGAGTTGCTCATCCCCCCCATGTGACTTCATACGCTTTGATTAATGCCTGTCGTCTTTTTTTTTTTAATGATGGATTAGGAACTTACCCAACTGGAAGGGTTTCTTCCACTGCAGTGACCTATTAAAAGTTTAATTACTTGATGGCCCCACCCTTATTAAGAGTCCAAAACTTGAAAGCCTTGTTTCTTAGTTCTTTTTTTCCCCTCTTGCTGTTCCCCAGGGCAACAGTATTAAGTAAGGAAATCCATTGTATCGCACTCCCCTGTTTGGGAGAGGATGAGCCAGGCTGACCCACCTTGCCCTGCTGGGAAGGCTCGGTGGTGACTGGCAGTGGATCTGCTGTCCTGGCTGACAGCGTACTCCGAGCTTCTGGGCTGAGTCATGTTAGATTAGGTCATGGGACTGAAGGTTTTGGGCTTGGTAAGAGGACTGGCTTATTTCTTCAAAAAGCAAGAGCTGCTTTCATGGGAGGATTAGAGACCTGTGAAGATGCTTCAGATTTCTAAGCCACTTTGTGCATTTAGCTCCCAACCTGCGTGCTTTGGAGGCAATAATCTGGAATCAAGTGTAGATCCCAAGGTTATTTCTTTTGGAGGTGGGGGAAAGGAGAAAGGGTACTTGCCGAGTACCTAAATGCTATGTCTCTGAAAACGGCCCTGGAATCATATCTTTTCCTGAAATTCTCCCCCCCCCGCCAAGTTCTGCAGACTCTTTCTAATGGGGCAGGCTTACTGTCCTAGGACAGTGGGCAGCCTTTGCCAAATCAGCAGGATAGGCTGGGAGGGAGATGAGTGTAACATCAGGATTGCGTCTCTGCTCAGGTTTGTGATGGGCTCCTAATTTGGGCGCGGGGGGGGGGAGGGGGGGGGGGAAGGAGGAACTGGCCAAAAATTGCAGAAACACTAGCTGCTGCTTGGTGAGAGGGTTATTTCATATGTATGAGCAGCTCGCTTTGAAAATATTACAAATTTTCTCTCTGAAGTCTTTCATGACCTTAAGTAGGAATTCCAGTAAAACATGCTGTCTAATCAGGTTAGCTCTTCATTTGTATGCAATGTTGAACTAATTAATGATGACAAATTGAGATTGGATTGCAGAGGACTTTATAAGCATCCTTGATTATTTTTTTTAATTAATGACCTGAGAACACAAGTAAGAATATAAGCAAGTTAATCAGTCTTTTCAGAAGGAAAATCTTTAACAATTGAAACTCTACTGAAGTGTTTAAAAACAAAAGCCTTAATAGTCTGAATTGAACAAAGTTTCTCACATGCATGCTCATAGTACAATAAAACCTTCTTGAAAACCACGCTGCGAAGGAACAAGCAGTTACCATTTTGTAATGCTGAGATAGGGAGTAGGTCGTTGAGGTAGAACGAGAAGCCCTATGAGCTGGGTGAAGTAAGAACTTATCCAGAACTGTGTGTCATTTATTGTGGGATATTTCCTCTGTGAGAATTCCCATATTCCCATGCCTTGCGATATCTCCTCCCATTTCTGCAGAAGAAGAAAACAAAGCATTTCAAAAGTGTGCCACCTCAGATTTTTTTTTTCTTCTCTGTGGAAGTAAGTTGTGTGCCCATCTTCCCCACCCACTCTGCCAATAAATAAATAAACAACTGCACTGGCTTTTCCCCCTAAAAAAAGATTTGGCAATCACCTGTCACTAGCAGAACCTGTTACATGGGGAAGAACATGATTGCAGTAGGAAAGTAAAAATTAAAATTGTATGTCAAGGTAAGTAAAAGTTAACATTACTGCCAAACGCGAGCTATCAAAAAATGAATCGGATCCACCCATCCCCATAAGCAAGATACCTCTTTATAAGTCATGAGACTCTTTTAAAAAGACAAACAGGTTCTTCTAATTCTCCCCCAGGTTTTTGAGCCTTTAGGGTGCATCTACTAAATCTTTTAAAGCTTTTCTTGGTAGTCACGAGGGTTAAGGAAAAAGAAGGCAGAAATAGCTTTAAGTTTTTAAATGAAAACTGAAATTTATTTGCAAGTTTTTGATTCTGCTGAAGACAGACACCCAGCCCTGCAAGACTTGCATAATTCAACTGTCGGCATTACCTGAGTTTAGCAGTTTATTCTCATGCCCTGCAGTAGGTTGGAGCTGAGCTGGGCTGGTCCTTGCAGGGCTTTGTTAGGAAACACGGAGCTCTGCAAAGCTGCAATCCGTGTTCCAGCCGGGCTCACTGGTTCTCCTCAGTAAACTCAGCTGTACCTACAGCTGCAAGAAAATGCTCAGATTTTGGACTCTTTTTGCTAGCAAAGCTGGATAACAGCCTGTGCAACATGCATGAAAGCAAGTAAATGGATTGTGCTGGCTGGGGTTAGTGCATTAGGAAAAGCTGCATTTTAAGGAAGGTGAAAGGAATGCACTTAAATTAGTCCACGCAAGCAATAACAGGTTTCCGTGGTTAAGACTACAGATTCCTTGGCTGGGCTATCTCAGTCTCTTTATTTCAGATTGATTCATTCCATTTTCGTTTAAATATATTGTGTCCTGAACCACCTGGTAAAATTGGGGAAATTTTTTCCCAATCTCTATAAAATGAA